CCAAGTGCTACCCAGATCGAACGATATATGTAGTTGTTACGCGCGAGATCGTTCTTATCATGAACAATAGAGGGAATTTAATACGTCGTTATCATTTATAATTATTATATCCCATAAATGTGTGTGTGTGCGCGCGCGCGCGCGCGCGCGTGTGTGTGTGTGTGTGTGTGCTCAGCAATATTTAGCAATTCTATATGCGTTCATACAATTGTAAACGGAAAAGATACTTCCTTGCGCTTGATTCAAATCTTAAATAAAGTAGGTTAGTCAATTCATAATTCATGTACATTGAAATAAATACAGTGAAAAAACAACAATAAGAGAAGTAAAAATATAACACCTCAGTAGTTACTTTATTATTATTAAATATTCTAACTTGTTCCCCGAAACTTCTAAACACCTGGAAGCAACGTGATAGAGTGAAATATAGGTATATGTGAGAAAAAAAAATTTTAATTTCAACATCGTTTACAGAGGGAAGTTACTTGGAAGCAAACTTTGTAATTACTTCGATCTAATAATAATCTAATTAATGATGACTGTTTATTATCGCGCACGCGTAGCAAGGTATCCACGAAAGGTTCCACAGAAAATCGTCAAATCCAAAGCCGCCAATTTGAAGGGTTTCAATTCTTCACACTCGGCGGCAGTTCCAGTTCCTTGTATGAAGGTTTCCGTCATCAGGATCATCACACGCGATATCCCGACGATCTCGATTGGTAGCCGACCGTAATGCCTGATCGACGGCGCCAGAATCCAAGGAACCCGGTCGCGTCGCCCGTCGCTGTGAGACACATCGGCACATTCGGGCTATCATTAGCCGCATCTGCCGCGCGGTTGCGAGAGGAAAGATATAAAAAAAAGGCTGTAATTACCACCTTAAACGACGTATATTCCTTCATTCTTATGTCTCAGTCTTTGTTTCCGTGGCCGCGGGTTCATCGTATCATCGTTAAAGTGATCCTCCGCGGCTGGCTCGGGTCGAAGGTGCCTATTTAGAGCCTGGGGCTTTAGGCGTGTTTCGACTATTTCTTCTATCCGGTACGGATGTGTTCTGTCTTGTTTTCGAAGAAATGAGAAACACGAGTAGATGTCGCGCGCCCTTCGTCATTAATTTTAGACAAAATAATCCAAACATTTTTCAATTTTAATCATTTATGTCCGATCAATAGATTACATCAAGATGTTCCTTACATAATTTTAGACCAATGTGTCTGCTAATAATTTCCAAATTACATTTAATAATTTACTATTTTAAATATGAGGATTTGGCAATGTAATCTCTAATTTACACAAAAGTATTAAAATTATTGCGAAGACCGATGAGTGGTAGCAGGTGCTAATGTTTTTGCCGTCGGAAAGACAAATGAGCGTTGCGACGTGCATGCTTTGCAGAAGAAATCGCCGACGGTGATTTCGTGCGGCAAGTTCAATCGGCAGAGAACTTTTTAAAATCAATCAAGGACATCCGCGTGGTCGAGATCGCGATTAAGCGTCCTTGTGGTAGTTCAAGGCTGAAGTGTCTCGGACACAAGATGAAATCGGGTGGTGGACCGGATCGCCCGCGGCTCCATCGAAATCCGTGAACGGGTTTCGGTACATTGATCGAGAACAGGAGTCCGTTCGATAACTAGGAGGATCTTATCTTAGGGGGCTCCCAGTTTCGACAGTCGCCGTACCTCGAGCTCTTAAAGGATGTACCCTCGAGGGACGACCATGCTTTGAGGGCGCCGCATCGCGCCAACCACGCCTCCTCCACCGTTATTTACCTCCGTCCTCTTCGCCCTTGCGATTTTATTGCCTTCTTCTTCCCTTTTTTCGATGTTAGTCCACCAAGCCCGGGAGCGATAGATACCTTCGGCATCAATAATGGACGCAACTGGTCCGTCGATCTCGTCGATTTTACGAAGAATCGTAACGTATACGGAAGATCTTCGCATCGAATAAAATATTTGCTATAATTCGAATATAACAGCGAAGTTGCAAACGCAAACTTGTACAACAATATTATTGTTTTAATTTATGGATTCGAATATAATAATCATAAGTTTATTTTCCTAAATTAATTGTAAAAATTTAAGTAATCACAGTATTACTGTACATATAAAAGTTGCATTAACAATGTAATAAATATAATTAATGGCAAAATTTCCAATATTAACAATAAATAATTTTGCAGCGTTTATATATGTAGATGTATACATAATAAACAATGAATTATATATGTATATATGTATTAGATTTAAACAAATTTTATTTTAGATGTAAAAACAACTAATAATATGTGATATTTGCAAGTGATATCTGGAATTATGAAGCTGATAAATTTACACTATAATATATTATATTATAAAATTTCAATGGATTAAGTATCAGCCAAATAATTCTTATACCGTTGGATATTACCTTTACAACAATACCTAGCACTCAAAGCTCAACTACTATTATGATACGGTAGAGAATAATGCGTCTAATAAGTGCACCTCCGTGTTATCTGATTTTGTAAACTGATGTTTTAACGCCAATTTGTTATAAATTTGTAACTTTCTGAAATTACCAGTGGACAATGAGTAGTGTCTTTATGCATCCATTAACGGTCATAAGTCGAGTAAACACAAGCGCTTGTAAATGCCACGTCGCATACCGTGGTATTTACGATATCTTAACGCCGTCGAGATAATACCCGCGTTTAACATTAACACACGTTTGAAGGTGATTCTGTCAAAACAATTTTACCATCGGCAAAATAAACTTCAGAAAGTCTATGCTTTAATTTTTACATCGTGATCGGCTTCTGGGAACAGTTGCACGATCGATTTTTTTACATTCTTCATTCTTTCTCGATGACTAAAAGGGCGAAGAATGCTCTCCTCATAGTCATCAAAGTCTTTAATAGCACCCAAGCTCTAGATCAGATAAGTTCTAACAACGTTACGTCATGTAGATCGCCTTGGGGGCTATAAAGGATCATCGACATCCCTCTTGAACTTCCTTCTTTCTTTTATTGCAATAACCTCGGTATCCGAAATTCTTGCGCAGGGCAGAGAAATGCTCACGGCTGAATAAGGGACGAAGAAAAGAAACTTTGAGCACAAAGTGAACACCCCCGTGAGGACGTAACTTCCAAGGATATAAATCTCCCAGGACAGTGATGCTCCTGCCGCCGGCAGGGAATTTAAGAAGAATTCATTCGGGGAGGCGCTATATGTTGAAGACGAAGAAGCCGTGCAGGATAGCGAATTCTTTTTGTAGCGACAACTAATAATTAAAAATCGTCTGTCAGTAGCTGATTGATTATTTCTATCAACTAAGACAGTCAATTCTATATAAAAACTATTTTTCAAGCTACTGCAATTAAGCTATCAATTTCTGAATAAAATAGAAAAATTGCAAAGTTTTATCAGCTATGGGATAATAATACTTAATTTGCTTTAGAAAATGTGTTACTAGTAAACACATATAAATATCTCAATTACATATCAATTTTTATAATCTTATAATTATTAGTAAATTCTAACGTTAGGGGTTCTTCTTGAACAAACTAAAACATTGAAACAGATATCATCGGCCTGTGTAGCACAAGTAGCTATTAAGCTATAACCTATTTAGAAACCTATTCCATCGGCTAGCTTAGGTAGTATCTACCGCACATGTGCACATTCCCATTATGCCAAACATTCGAAGTAAAACACTTGGCAAAACAATAGAGAAAAGAAAGTAAACTTTTACGGGAAATCGTACTTGGTCAGTCTTCACTATCACAGCAATGCTGTTCTACATGTAAAAATTACGTGTAACGCCTAGCGGAAGAGATGAACGTTCTCCAAAATGGCGACCATCTGTCTGCGCTGCACGCACTCGGTAGCACGAGTAATCACGCACATGTCTTGAAGCTAAAAAGTTTCCTTGATATTTCACGATTCTCATGCGTTCTTATAACACGTGCGAGCGAGAACACTTCATTCTGATGTCACCATAAGGGAAATAATACAATCGATATTACGTCACCTGTCACAATTTCGATGAATGCAATCGCAAGGTTGATGGGCGGGTTGACGCGCGACGGGTTCCACAAGGATTATTCTTCAAGGTCGTCAAGATGGCGGCTACCGACGCACGTCTCGGCGCTAAAGAAGTCGCGGAGTCATCCCCCGATTAAAGTGACATTCGGGAACACGTTGGTCCCGTTGCGGATCGGAGCGCACGAGACGGACAGGTGTAACGCGCAGCGGCAGTAGACACCAACTGATCTCACATAACAACGGCCGATAAAATTGTTGCGTTTCTACCAAAAATTATCCTCTTTTTTTCCCTCGCGGTATAAAAAGTACAAAATTGTGGTAATTTAACCCCCACCAAAACGGCGATGGCGACGATGGCGGCGGTAGCGCTGCTCCGCTTGTTGTTTATGGAGAAGAGGAGAGGCATCGAGGGCACGAATGAGAGAGAGAGAGAGAGAGAGAGAGAGAGAAGAAATTCCAGAAAGAAGAAGAAGGAGAGTGATAGTGCAAGACGAGGAGAGAACCGCAAAGAGAATGAGAGAGGTAGAAGAGAGGAGAAGGGCAGAGGGACGGAGACGAAACGAAGGCCTTTCGCTTGTGAATACACCGCACTAACAACGCGGGACAATTATGGTTCAATATAGCCGACGTTAATAGCAATAGCGGCTGCTTCGCACGCTTGGCATTCTTCGTGTTCCGGCTTCTATTCCGTTTAGAAAAAAAACATGAATCGCACGGAATTTGCGCGCTAAGCCACATGTGTGACAATCAATCAATAATTGTCAAATAATAATAACAATGAAGAAAAACAAACGCGCTTACAGAAAATTATTTTCATATAATTTAAGTGAATAATAAAATATACACCATAGGCACTTATTTAATTACTTTTTTTTTATTTTTAATCGTAAGAGAACTATCAATTTAATACTATATAATCTAAGCAAACTACATCGTCTTATTCGTTTTGTATGAGAAATTCTTCTATGAGAAACGTACCTCGAATTTGGCGCGGTCCATCGATAGCAGTTGCGAGCAGTATTCGAAATTCGAAATAGGATATGACCAACGCGGAGAAGACTCCTCGAACCGTTCTGTATTTCGCGGGCACTGTTACTCCTGGCTCGCGTCGCCGTTCGTGTGAACACGGCCGATGCTTTAAGCCACCGAGAAGGGGCATACTATGAAATTAGTATAATCACGATCAAAATTACTCGCGCCGGGTAACGCTGAACCACCAACCGCCGCTCAAATAACCCGCCCCGTCGTCGCCAATCGGGACTCGCGAGTCGGCGGCCATCTTGCGCGGCGCCGCATGCGCGTCGGAAGCCACGAATTACCGCAAAAGTGGATAATTTCTGCTTGCAGGGTGAGCACCAGGCCGTCCACTGTGTACCGCTCTGTCATGCTCGATCCAGTTTCGAAACCTTGCGGAAGAACTTTGACGAAAGGAATCGATCCCTACGAATAGCCTCGATAAATTAACAACTGCACGAAATAGCTACGCTCTATGTCATTTTCTTAGGGAGTGATTACGATAAAAAAAGAGAAGCGGGGTTGCTTGAATGCTCGAGGGGAATGTACGCAGCGGGAAAAGAGAGCGAACAAACATAGCGGTTTGTTGGAAGAAGTAATAGATAGGGGAGATAAACATATTAAACTTATCGCAGAATTGCAGGACACAAAAAGCAGGCAGAAAAGAATAGGGTAGGAAATATGAAAGGACATTTGTAAGAAAATGGAAGAAATAAATAAAATTTGAATTATTCTTTAAATAAATTGATTAACATAATGTTGATTTACTAACTTTTATTATTATGTAATGCTGTGTTATATTTTTCACACTTGCAAAAATTGTATCTTACGATATTTGCATGATGGACTTAGCAAATTAAAATTCTATCG